TAGTTGAATTGCAAGGGCATGTGGTAATTCTATCTTCCATTGTCTTCCAGGCTGAAGAATCATCATACTGTTTTTCTCAACAGCTGCAGCATTTGACATTTCTCTCAGTAATATCTGAGAGTTCCAGCCTTTCCACATCCTTGCCAACACATGTTATTGTTCATTTTTTAAAGAGCTATCTAGTGAGTATCATATGGTACCTTGTTATGGTTCGTGTCTGGATGTCCCCCCAAAGTCTCATGTCATAGGTGCGGCTTTTTCAGAAGTGGCTGGATCTAGAGTGTGTGACACTGGGATTGATTCATGGGGCAACGCTAGACTCAAGGGCACTAGGATTAAGAGTGCGAGTGCTACCTGCCCCAAGTAGTCTGGGTAAGATAAGAGGGACAGAAAGACGCTGTTAAGGTCCTTTGTTGCTTTTGCTGTCTTCTACCTGTCTGCCATGTCACCCTGCCTGGGAGCCAATCAATTAAAGACTGAACCGTCTACAAACTGTGAGCCAAATAAACCTTTCCCCCTTTAACTTTGCAAGTCAGGTATTTTGTCTCAGCAAGGAGAAAAGTACTATGACATACCCCATTGTGGTTTTGACTTGCAATTCCCTAGTGACTAATGATGTTGAACATTTTTTTCTATGTGCTTATTGGCAATTTGTATGTATTCTTTGGAGAAATGACTGGTCAAATGTTTTAAAAATTTCAAAACTGGGCTATTCGTCTTTTTGTTGTTGACTTGTAAGAGTGCTTTGTATTGCCTACATACAAGTTCTGTGTCAGATATATAATTTGCAAATATTTCCTCCCATACTGTGATTTGTCTTTTCATTTTTTTGACGAAGTTCTTGTGGTACAAATGTTTCTGATTTTTATCACATTCAATGTATCTAATTCTTCTTTTATTGCCATGCTAAGAAACTCTTCCCTGATATTTCTATGTTTTCTTTTAGCAGTTTTATAGTTTCAGTTTTTAGGGTTACGTATGTAGTTCATTTGCACTTAAGTTTTTTGCATGATGCGACGTAGGAGCTCCTTTGTTGAAAAGCCAGTTATTTCCTCATTGGATAAACTTGGCATCCTTGTCAAAATCAATTAGCCATACATATAATGTTATTTTTGAACTGTAAAATCTGTCACATGGATCTATAAATCTGTCTTTAAGCACATTCCACAGTGTCTTGATTACTGTAACTTTATAGTAAGATTTTAAATCAGCAAGTGTTCTTTTTCAAGACTGATTTGGCTATTTGGGGCCCTGTGTTTTTCAATATGAATTTAAAGATCAGCTTATTAATTGCAAAAAAGCCAGCTAGAATTTTGAAAGAGATTGCATTGAACTTGTTGATCTATTTGGGGAATATTGCTATTTTAACAGTGTTAAGTCTTCTGATTCATAAATATGGAAAATCTTCCCATTTAGTTAGTTGTTGCTCCTTCTTTCCTTCCTCCACCTCCTCGTCCTCCTCCTTCTCCTTCCTCTTGGAATTAGAGCCAGGGCCTTGTACATGCTAACCATATACTGTACCACTGAGCTACATGTCCAGCCCCTAGGCATCCTTTAATTACATTCAATGACATTTTATAGTAGTCACTGTACTAGTCTTGTTTTTGTATTGTTAAACTTGTTCCTAATAATTTTATTCTTTTTCATGCTATTGTAAATGCAATAGTTTCCTTAATTTCATTTTTGCATTATTCATTGATAGTCTATCTGTCTTCTTTGGTGAAGTGTCTGTTCAGATATTTTGCTCATTTTCATTTTCATTTTCATTTTTTTTTGGTACCGGGGATCAAACTCTGGTCCTTGCGCTTGCGCAGCAGGTGGCGAAACCACTGAGCTAAATCCCGGGCCCTTTTGCTCAATTTTAAATTGGGTTTTCTTTTTCTTCTTAAGTTTCTTTTTATTTTTCTTGTAGATATAAAATGTATTTTGCAACACATCTATGGCTTATTTTTTTACTTCTTTAACAGCATTTTTCAAAAGGCAAACATTTTAAATTTAGATGAAGTCAGTTTAGATGAAATCTTTTATGGATTATGCTTTTTCTGTCTTTAAGAATGTTTTTTGCCTAAGTCAAGGTAACAAAAGTTTTCTCCTAGAAATTTTATGGTTTTAGGCTTTAGGTTTAGGCCTGGTCTCCCTCTTGGGTTAACTTTTTGTTATAGGTCACGGGTTACTCTTGCTGCTTTTTGGCATGTGGATTTGCAATAGTCTTGGCACTACTTCCTCAGAAGGCTACTTCTCCCTTGAGCACCTTTTCTCTTTTGTTGAGAGCAACTGACTGAAAATGTTTATTTTCCTTTGTTTTTATTTTGAACAAAATACTTATATTTGACTAAACATTAATTTTTACACAAAAGTACACAAAACGTATACGTCCAGTTTAAAGAATAATTGTTAGGGAATATCGCCCTGGTGACTTTCCAATCACAACCCCATCCTTCTCTCCAGAGCACCTACAATTTTGATTTTGAAATGTGAGCCCCCTTTGTCATGTGTGTGTGCATCTTTAAATAACATAGTTTAATTCTGGCTGTTATTTCTGTGTAAAGAAATTTTAATTGTGATAAAATGTGCACTGAATAAACTTTACCATCACAGCCGCTTTGGAGTGTATAGTAATGTACTGTTACATACATAGTGCTGCATAACCATCGCCAACATGCATTTTCGCACTTCTTTTCATCTTGCAGACCTGAAACTGTACCCATCAAACGGACAGTTCCACAATTCTCCGCACTTCTTTCTCTCTGAATGTACTGGTTTGCTTCTTGCTTCTTTTGTTTAATATGACTTTGTGGTGGTTGAACTTCATTGTGTCAGTTTGGTTAGCTTGGGAGTCACCGAGGTAATTGGTGGAGTACCCTTCTGGGTGTGTCTTGGGGGCACGGCCTCGGGGTCTGTTTGTGGTCACTCACCCACTCCTCTCTGGGGCTGTTTCCCTGCTCTGCTCCTTGGCTGCCACGAACTAAGTATCTTTGTTCTGTCACAACCTTCAGCCATGATGTTTCTGGCTTGGAGCTATGACCATGGATTGAATCCCCTGAAACCATGAGCCAGATTAAACCTCTCCTCTCAGTTGTGGATGTCAGGTATTGTGTCCCAGAAATAGGAAAATACAGGTGTTCATGAGAGTTTTGTACTTAATAGCGCAATTCATTCATTTTCATAACTATGTAGCAGAGCCCTTCAAAATGAGAGCATCCAAGAGATTAAAACTATTTTCATGGTGTTAAATATATATGTAGTACATAATACTAAGAAGCTGTCTGCCTTTTTAGACTTATTTCTAGTGTGTTATTTTTCATAACAATATTATTTATGTTAAGATGTTATTGATTTAGTTATTTTTAGATGAATAAATAAACATTTTAAAAGTCTCTTCAGTTTACATTTCTCATCTGTGAAAAACATATAGGTATAAGCCTTATAAACCAATGCTCTTAAAACAAAAAAACAAAAAAACAAAAAAACAAAACCAGTGCTCTTTAGGGTATTAAGTAGTTTTTAAGAATGTACGAGGTCTGAGATCACAAAGTTTGAGAGCCACTGCTGTATAGTATCCATTGACTGAACATACCACAATTTACTTATACATTCGACTGTAGCTGGACACATAAGATACTTCCAACAGCATTATGAATATTCTCTGACTGTTTCCTGGTGCACATTTATAAGAGAAGAGGAAGTGAATGTCTTCAATGTTAATAATGTCATACTGCTTTCCAAAGTAATTGCACCAATTCATGTTCCTACCACAGTAACCGAGTTCCTCCTGCTCTATATTCTTGCCTACACTTAGAGTTTCAATACTGTATCTTTTATTTTTGTCAATTTTATAGATGTATGATGGAGACCTACTTTCTCTGGGAAATTCGGGTATTTCAAATTTGGTTTCGTGTTTATGTTCAATTATAAAAAGTCCACTATATAACTAAAAAGAAAATTCCTCTTTATAAAATCACTTAAAATAACGTTTTTTTTTTTTTTTGGAAAAAATATAGGATGTAAATATAGGATGGGCTATCCATGTGCATGTCTTTCTTTCATTTTTTTACTTCAAATACGGGTGAGTGAAAAACCTGGAATTTTAGCCCATGTGTTTGTTTCTCTTAACTCCATGCTCTTTCTGCTTCTCTTTAGGAGAGGATGGTGGCTAGCAGTAAATCTTTTGTTTTATTTTGATTTAATTTTAAGCAACGTTCACAATTAGATGCTGCTAATGGGTGCCCTCTAGTGGACTCCCACTGAGGCTGCTCCCACTAGATGGGGTTGGGGGTGCTACTGGGATTGGTCGCGAGGCCTTGGCCTAGAGCTACATTCCCAATCCTTTTTTCTATTACTTATTTTGAGACAGGGTCTCACTAAGTCCTAACTTGCTGGACTGGGCTCTACTTTGTGAACCTCCTGCCTCACCTCCCAGAGTGCTGAGATTACAGGTGTGCTCCTGGACTCAAGCAACCGTGGATTGAAATTAGCTGAAAAGAATTGCATCTACATCGAACATGTCCAGACTTTTGGTTGTCATTATTCCCTAAGCAATGCCGTAGAACACCTGAAACGATATAAGTCATCTAGAGATGATAAAGTATACATGAGGATGTAGGTAGCTTATATGCAAATACTACGCCACTTTGTGGAAGGCAGTGGATTCTGGAACCAGCCCCCTGACAGGGAATGAGGGATTCCCTGCAGGAACTGTATAAACATCCTGCCTCCGGCAGAGTAGCGTGTAGAGAACTTACATATCTTGTGGTGCTGGGGCTGGAACCTTGGGTCTTGGGCATCATAGGCAAGAACTGAGCTACGTCCCCCAGCCCCAGCAATGATACTCTTAGCTCTGCAACAGGGACAAGGTTTTGGGTGTTTTCAGCACCACGGCGCTGGCTACAAGTTTTGGGTTGCTATCAGACCCAAAGGGGGCGCAGCAGGCTTTCATCTAATGCTGTTTTTCTATCTCGGCACTACTGATATTTCAGGATGGGTCATCTTCTGTTGTCCTGTGGATTGTAGCGTGCTCAGCCACAACCTTGGTCTCTACCCGCTAGATGCCAGCAACATTCCTTCTCCTAGTTGCGAAGCCAAACATGTCTCCGGACACTGCCTCGCAAAATAGCTCCCGATCGGGCGGAGCGGCGCTGCTATCGAGGGCTGCGAGGCCTAGGCCCAGCACCTACAGCTCCTTGGGCTCTGGGGGTCAGCGGCGCCGTCATGAGCACCGCCTCTCGCTCCTCACCCGCACAGGGCACGCACAGCAGCCGTCCTGACCAAGCCCAGGCCTGTGTGATCTTTGTGCCACATCCATTCATCACGCTAGCCCCGCCTGGAATGCAGACTCCGCCTCCCCGAGAAGGGCCTTTTCACGCCGCGGAAAAGACTCAACATCGGCGTGCGTCCTCACTCTGCGGTCCCGGGAGTCCGTCCTGTGAGAATTCAGAAACCGGAGGTCAGTCCAGTTCTGAAGCTAAACAGCCGTTCCGTTGCCTTGGCACAAAACCCTCCACACCTGGGTAGGATCAGTGAGTGCTGCCTCCCTGCAGCAATGCCGCTCTGCCCCCACGCGCACCCCTCTCCCTCAAGGGAAAATATTATGGACCCGTGTGTGTTCCAGGGCCTGCAGAGCTTCAAAGCAGACTCCATCTGCGGCTGCTTCCTGCTTCCCGCAACCCCACGTCCGGGGAGTCAGTGGGGCCACCAGAACGCTAGACTGGCGGGGGGCGGGGGGGGGCTTGCAATGGCACATTTTTCTCCTTTGAAAATGTGCCCCTTTACATCTGGCATACCGGTGTGACTGAGGGCTCTGACTCTGGAGTAGGACATCTGTACTCGAATGTTGTCTTCTTTACTTAGAAACCATAGTGTTTCTTAACGCTCTCTTGGCATCAGTTTCTTCACTGAAAAATAGGGGTGGTCCCAATCTTGTTAGTGGCGCCTTGTGAGTCGGCCCAGTGCCTGTGTTATGAGTTGGCCTTCTTCTGCGTGTAGCCCTCCCCCTCCCAAGGGTTCATATATTGGAAGCTTGGTCCTCAGTGCAGGGATTTGGGGAAATGCTGGAACCTTTAAAAAATAGGACGTTGCAGCCAGTGAGTAATCTCAACACTCTGGGAGACGGGGCAGGAGTTCCAGGCAACTTAATGAACCTTTGTCTCAAGATCAAAATTTGGAAAATGCTGAGCATATAGTTGGGTTGTGGAGCGCACCTGGGTTCAATCCCTAGTACCACAAACAAAACGAGAGAGAGAGAAAGAGAGAGAGAGAGAGAGAGAGAGAGAGAGAGAGAGAGAGAGAGAGAGAGAGAGAGAGAGAGAGAGAAGAGATTGTTGTCTTCAGAAGGGATTAATGCAATTCTCAGGGGACGTTGGTTAGTCGTCTTGAAGACTGGCTCCTCCTCAGTCTCTGACTTCTGGCCTGGTCATGTGACCTCTTCTGCAGAGGCTGCCAGCACCCTGTTGCCTTCTTCCCTCAGGCCCTCTTCAGAGCCAAGCAGAGGCCAGCACCGTGCTCTTGAATCTTTAAAAGTGTAAGCGAAATAAACCATTTTCTTTACACATTTCCCAGCCTCAGGAATTTTTTTGTAGCAACACAAAAGGGACAAATACAGTTTGGGCCTGAAAAATGTTCACCATTGTTATTAATCCTTTAATCAATACACGACTATTAGGCAGCAAGCGTTGTTCTAATGGGGATATGTAGTGTACAGAAAAAATATTAACTTCTGTTTTAATTATTACTGCTTTCCCACACTGCCAGTTGAATTGACCCACCAGCAAGTGGGGAAATACAGACTTTCTCAGAAGCACCAGTAGGCACCTGGGTGAGCTAAGGAGTAATATAGAGTACTGTCAGTTGGCAAAGCACCCGAAGGAAGGTGTTCTCACAGGTGTGTCTTTTTGTCTCCATTCCAAGAACACTGCTGTGCCTATTTTTGAGGAGAGCACAAGATTGCCCCAGAGAACTTTCTGTAATTATGGAAATATTGCATATTTGCACTCTCCAATATGAAAGCCAAGTGTAGGTGTTGAGCACTTTAAATGCAGCTTAGTGTGATTGAGGGATGGAATTTTACATTTTATTTAATTTTAATGAACTTACATTAAGTTTAAATAGCCTCATGTGACTAATGGTTACAGAATTGGACAGTGCAGAAGGATGATTATCACAGTGCTTAGAGTGATGAAAAGAAATATGATCCATAACCTAAGGTCCAATCTCTTCAGCTTGGAAAAACTCTGGGATATAAGAAAGCTGAGTTATGCCAAAAGCTCTGTTTGTCTCTACGTAACTTTTTGAGAAATCTTCAAACAATTTTCTGTGGTTGCTGTATCATTTCATACTCCTATCAGCAGTTTATGTGATTCCAGTTTTTTCACATCTTGCCAAAACTTATTTTCAGTTCCATTTTGGTTTGTTTTTTTTTTGTACCAGGGATGGAACTCAGGTCCTTGAGCTTGTGCAGCAGTCGTCGAAACTACTGAGCTAAATCCCCGGCCCTCCATTTTGTTTTATTGTGGCCATCCTACAATATGGGAAGTTGTGTGCAGTGGTATTTCATTATAGTTTGGATTTACAGTTTCCTAATGACTAAGGTGTCAAGGATCTTAAAAAATTTTTTAAAAATTTTTATAGGAAAATATTTACGGGGCAGGGATTTAGCCTCAAACTTGCATTCCTCCATGGCCAAAAGTGGTGGCTCACACCTGTAATTCTGGCACTTCAGAGGCTGAGACAGGAGGATTGCCATGAGTTTGACTCCATAGTAAATTCAAGACCAGCCTGAAGTACAAAGTGAGACCCTGTCTCAAAAAATATTGCCTTCCTCCTATCATGTCCTCTCGTGTAACTGGAATTATTGGTCCCACTGTGCCTGTCTTTAGGATCATTTATTGAAGAGAATATTCTTTCCCTTATTGAATTGTTTTGGAACCCTTGTTGAAAATCAATGGATGATGAATGTGTGGATTCATTTTTGGACTCTCAATTCTTTTCCATTGTTCTATATATTTACCTAATGCCAGCATCACATTGTTTTGATTACTGAACCTTTAAGCTCTCAAACTAAGAAATATGACTTCTCCAACTCAACATTTTCTTTTAAAGGTATTTTGGCAATTTAGGGCCCCTTTCATTCCATATGAGCTTTAGAATAAATTTCTCCACTTTTATTGAAAAGGTCTTTGGGATTTTGACAGGGATAGCACTAAATCTATTACTTTCAATAGCGTTGCCATATTAAGAACATTAAGATTTCCAATTCATGAACCTGGGATGTATTTTCATTCAGTTAGGCTTGCTTTATTTCTTTTATCAATGTTTTGTAGTTTTAATTGTATATGTGTTATGCCTCTTTGGTTAAATTTCTTTCTAGGTACATTATTCAGTATGATCCTATTATAAATGGAATTGCTTTCCTAATTGTATTTTGGATGATCTATTACTAACATATAGAAATAGAGAAAAAAAAGAAATAGAGTCACTTTTGTATGTCACACTGATATCCTGCAATCTCATTGAATTTATCAGCTCTACTAAGTTTTGGGTGTATGAATTCTTTAGGATTTTTTGTAGACAGATCATGTCATCTATAAAAGATAATTTCTTGTCTTCATTTTCAGTGTAGATGAACCAAGTAAGTTCCGGTGGCCAGAGAGATTTCAGGCAGAGTTAAGTGGCTTGCACATAAAAGTGCTTATGAACACTGTGGACTTAGAGTCCCTCATGCTTCACATTGAGTCTTTCATTCTTTCTTTCTTTCAGGTGGTGGCTCACTATTGCAATTTGTTTAAAAAATTGCATAGAAAATGAAGAAAAAGAAAGACAGGAAAAGAAAAAAGAGAAGGAAAGAAAATAGAGTTAATGGGATAAGCTACATCCCAGCTGCTTCAATTGGTCTTGAGATTATAATTTATCATCATGCACTATTCTCAGTTCTCAACTTTTGGGCAGAAATTTTTCTCATAAAATTCTTTTTTGTAGAGATATACTTCATAAACCATGAAATTCACTCTTTGAAGTGCAGTTCGGTGGTTTTTACTGTATTCTCACAATTGTGCCACTATCCAATTTCAGGATGCCTGCCTTTGCCCTCCGTACCCGTTAGCAGTTACTCTCCTTGGTCTCCTCTGCCCCACCACCCCTGACAACTGCCAATTTACTTTCTGCCCCTGTGGATTTGCCTGTTCTGGAAATTCCATAGAGATGGAACCATACAGTATGTGGTCTTTGCATCTGACATCTTTCACTCAATACTTTCTACGTTCATCCATACTGTAGCATATACCAGTACTTCATTCCTTTTTATGTCCAAATTATCTTATTGAATGGGTGGGTATACTACTGTATCTGTCCATTCAAGGTGGATATCATGGGTATATAGCTGAGAGTACAATTTCTAGATTATATGGTAACTCTATTTTTAACTTTTTGGGAAACTGCTAAACTTTTTTTCCAAAGCAGTTATGCCATTTTACATTCCCAGCAGCAGTGTATGAGGATTCTATTCCAGTTTCTTCACATCCTGACCGATACCTGTTCTTCCTTTTGATTACGGCCATCATAGTGGATATGAAGTGGTCATCATGGCTTTGATTAGCATTTCCTTAATGATACTGAATAAGTTTTCATGTGCTTGTTTTGGCCATTGATTTTGCTGGTCTGGTGCTTTTAAATGAGACTTCATCCCTGAAGGCTCAGAGCCCCTGGTTTGGTTGACTGAAACAAACTGGGTTGCTGCAATTGCCTCTTCGCAGTTAAAACTGGGCCTGGGAACACCTAGAGGCAGCCCGTAAATCCTGTGACCTGCAGACATCACCTTCTCTGTCTTCATTGTGTAAGCAGGAACCTGGGGTCTTTTTGATCACTAGAGCCAACGAGCTATGCCAACATAACACCTCCTTCTTTTGCCTGGGGGGGCTACTGACACACAGAGCCCACATGACCAGGTGGCAGCATAGCTTTAGGTCACTGTGACTGCTGATAGGAGCATTTCTCTCTGGGGATCCAGGGGCTCCGGTTCAGCAAGAATTTAAGTTGCAGGGAGAAGAAATGGACTCCTTAAGTGGGCCACTGAGGATGATGGTGGCGTGCCCACTGCTCTCCTTTGGTTCTTGGGTTCATGCCCTCTGCTGGGGACTCATCACCACATAATGGCTCTTGGATGAAAGTATAAACACATCTCAGTGGAGAGCGCTCTAATGTGTAAGATGTCCTTCCAGAGTTGGTGTTCTAGTCATGCCTTTAAAGGTCCATTTCAGTCTTCTATCGAAGAGGCAGCTTCTGTACGATGTGGGATATCATGTCCATTGTCACCTTCCTTCACCCATAAAGAGTCCTCTGGCCTAAGGAAAAAAAAATCTATTGTGATGGTTAATCTCTTTTTATTTATTCTTATTTTTTTTTGGTACCGGGGATCGAACTCGGGACCTTGCGCTTGCACAGCAGGCGGCGAAACCACTGAGCTAAATCCCCGGCCCCTTATCTTAGGTATTCATTACAGTGACAAAAAGCCGACTACCATGGGCACTGTGGGAGTCTTTGGTGAGAGCGGTGCTCGGCAAGGTGCTATGAGCAGGAGAGGTCAACACATCCACACTTGGAAACTACATTGCTTCCTCTGGGGTGGAAGAGGCTCAGTGAAGTCAAGCTGGCCTCAGGAGGCGGGCTGGGCACCTCCAGCATGGCGCATACTGAGGGTTTAGTGTCACATGTGATGCTGACAGGACAAATGTTCGGCAGTGCAGTAGCTAGATCAGTCTTGGTGGAGGGAACCCATTTTGTTGGGCCTTTGCTGAGTCTACATCTCTGCCACCACAGTTACTGTCTTCAGGGGCCCACTGAGCAAAAGTCTGAACTATGAGGACACAGCTGGTACAGCTCCACTGGACAGGTCACCCCGTCCACCCCGTGTTTACTGCTTCCTTTTGGCAGATGTGTTCTTATGGGCCTTGACAGAGGCATGAAGCTTGTGCCCTTCCTACAAATCTGACCCTCAACATCTCTGATTCCCACTGTTGCTCCTTTAAGACCAACCATTTAGGCTGTGTACCACTACCAAGAAGTCTGTGTATGTCCTTAACTCAGGCTACAGGGGCTTGCTCAAGATTCCACTCCATGTATGGCTCAAATTGCAGGGACATTTGTACTGAGCTGGAACCTACTTGAAGCTCTATTTTCCTCTGGCCTTAATTCAAAACCAGTAGCTTTCTGACTTAGCAGGAAGTGGTATTGTTGTGGCAAAGAGGAACAGCTCAGTGCTATAGCCAAGTATTACAGGTCAGTCTCACAGCCAAGTGCCCCAGCCCTGAGGCACAGCTGAGCGTTACAGCTCAGTGTTACAGCTCTGGGTCACAGCTAACACAGTCTGGAGACTTGAGAATGTGATGGTCACTCGGAGAGGTGGAGAAAAACCTGTATTTTTTATTTTATCCTATTTCCCCCCTCAAGCCCTCTCCCCTCCCTATGTACAAAAGCTTTATTTCCATTTTTTCCTTCTGAGAAAAACCTTTATTATGTTGGTGGGCTCAGAGGAGTTCATACTTGAAGTCTGAGCACCTCACCAGAAATGAGAGCCTCCTTATATTGGGATCTACAAGGTAGGTGAGCATGCTCACCGAAGCAGAGGGGTGGAGTTACAGAATGATCCTGAAACATGCTGGGTGAGCATGCTCACTGAACCAGGTGGGGGCAGAGTTACAGAGCATTCCTGAAAGGCATAGTGGGCGAGCATGCTCACAGAAGCAAGGGGGTGGAGTTACAGAACAATCCTGAGAGGGCAGGAAGTTCAAACAGTTACAAAACATTTTGATACATTGGGCAGGAGTGCTGCCCAGCAGCACAAACTGTTGCACTTCTGGAACAAAACATTCTGTGGAAAAAACAAAAAACATGGAGACAAGGCAAGAGGCTGTCTCATTGTGTAGTATCACTCTATCAGCATCCCCAAGGATGCGGATGTGAATTGGGTCTAAAACTTGAAAGGATCTGCCTGGTGCAATGTCTTTTTCAGTGATAGGAAGTGAACAGGTGGTATTCTTTCCTTTATCTTGGAGGCGATCTCCCCAACCACCAACGTGGCAGCCTCCTGAATCTTTGTTTATCTAGCACTCAATGACAACCCCGAATGTCAGGTACTTCCTGCTCACTAGCTGTGATTGGCATGGAATCGTCAGCATAGTGGATCCAAGAGACATTCTGGGTGTCCAGAAGATCAAGGTCCCCTGAGCCTATATCATGACAGCAGGAGAGCTGGTAGAGTTCTGGGCAAGATTGCATGTCTGTCTGTCTACCCCAAGTGAATTGAACTGCCCATACCCTCCTTTCTGATCTGATGGGGACTGAAAGGAACTCAGCTGCCAGGCCAACAGCTGCATATCCAGTGCAGAGGCTGTGCTGATCTGCTGTGGTGAAGATTTCCAAAGTGTAAGAGGCAGTCACTGAAGGCTTTGTTCAAAGGAGTGATTTTATTTGTACTGGGAAGAGTGATTTGAATTCTTTGTGGGGAATAGATTGGAGGAGAGGCCAACAATAGCTGTAGTAAAACCTCATGTTCTGTGTCCTTCACGTATTTGGATTTGTTGGTTTGATGGGTGTGACTTTATTCCCTGAAATGAGGACTTGCGAGCTGAGATTTGACTGATGTATCGCTTAAGGTAAGTAATGCTGGTGCTGTAACAAGTGACCCCCAAAGCTCAGTGTTCTTTTGTTTTGCTTTGTTTTTTTGGTACCGGGGATTGAACTCAGGTTCTTGTGCTTGCACAGCAGGTGGCGAAACCACTGGGCTAAATCCCTGGCCCCCCAAAAGCTCAGTATTCTATACAACATTTTCTTTACATCATAATCCAGTGCAGGACATTCATTCGGGGACACTGCTATGGACTGAAATCCACCTCCCCCCATTCAAATGTTGAAGTCCAAACCCCCAATATGATGGTACTATATTTAGAGATGGGGCCTTTGGAAGCTAATTTGATTTTGATGAGGATGTAAAGGTGAGACCCTCTCATGAGGGATTAGTGCCCTTATAAGAAGAGACACGGTAGCATCCTTCCTCTTCATGGTCATATGAGGAGCTGGCTATCTGCCTGTCAGGGAGAGGGTCATCACCAGAACCTTACCATGCTGGCCCTCTGATCTGTGAGAAAAAAAATTGCTGTTGTTTAAGGCACCTGGCCTATGGTATTTTATTATGACACTCTGGGCTGACAATACAGATCCCATCCCCGGCCATGTTCCCTGTTACTACCTTGAATTTCCTCCAGTCAGCTGGCAGATGTTTAAGAGAATGTAAGATGTCGTACGGGAGGTTTCACTGGGCCACACCTGAAAGTATGCTGTTGGCAACCCTCAGTGATGGCCACTCCTAGACATTCCTAGCTAGCAGTGTCCTAGGAACCTTCTAGAATCAGGTTACATTCCAATATAAGGAGTAGTCTGAATTGGCCTAAATGGATACTAACATTCCCACCAAAAGAGGGTGCCCTCTCTGCTGGGTCACTCAAGCGGACCACAGAGATCAGTGGAGTTCAGGAAGTGACACTGGAGACCCTGGAAGTTAGGTAGATAGATGGAGTTGTCAGCAGATGATTTGGCCCCAGGCAGCCATGTTGGGGTCCAAAGGTGGGATTCTCACACTGAGATTCATAAGACAGAATACTAAACCAGGCAGGAATCTAAGTGTACGCAGAAGGCCCTGCCAGAAATCCAGGCAGAGAGAAGAGGCAAGGTCCAACTTTCAGAACCGAAGTCCAAGGTCAGCAGGATACTGGAAGCCAGGAGTACTGGATGT